ATTAATGCACTACTTGAATATGATCATGCAATACATTCTACGCAAAAAAGCAAAATAAAGGGAATATATGAATATTTAACCAGAGAAGGGGTACAGTGCCCATAGTGCCAGAAAGGTGGTTGTTTAATACCCAAAAACACTAACAAGATAATTGCAAACGAAAGCAGATGCATTCTTGAAACGAAACTAGTGGAACCGATTTAGTGCAGCTGTGAGAAATGAGGAGGAAGAAATTAAAACGAGAACCTCAAATAACAAAACTACAAACAACCCCAATTTACACATGATTTCACAGCGAATGTAGAAGCATTCATGAATCCAACGAACTGCATCAGGCGAGCAAAAATCGAGATGATATTTACATAATTCTAACCAAAACGAAATAAAAAAACATACCTGGAACCATGATAAAAAACGATAAAGGAAGAGGAATCCCAAAATCGGACGATTGGGAGGTTTGTAAAATTAAGAGGTTGATAAATAAGGGAATTCATATCTGCAGAATTGATACGGATGAAATGGGGAAAGTGAATTCGATCGTGAGCGAGAAATCAGGGATGAGGGTGAATCACGATGGTTAGCGTTTAATAGAGTGCCGTGGAAAGACTTTTATGCCCTGGCGATCAGATTAAGATCTGATTAGATCGGAGGGTTTATATTTATTCTCATTTCTTTCATTAGATCTCTTTCTCACCGGAACCAAACCCTATATATATATATATATATATATATATATATATATATATATATATATATATAACAAAGGGAGTAATAAATATTCCGTACTTACTTTTGCCCTTAAAATTAAAAAAAGAGAAATTTAGATGCATCCCACTATTTAAGGACAAAATGGGTCTATTTAATACAGAGTATAAAAGAGATGGTTTTAACAAAAAAAAGAGGAGGATTTAGCAATACGTAGGGCCTCTTTGGGAATAGTGTTAGACATTAGTGTTGGCATTTGGGATCCAATATTAACGGTACAAATTACTTTGAAAACGCTAACGTTAAACGCTGGACCTAGATAGCCTTTTCAAAACGCTAACGCTATTCCCAAACAGGCCTGTAATGATTTAACTAATGTAACTTTTTTTGAAACAAAAAATATAACTTTTACGGAGTATATCTCATATTTTTTTACTCCTTCCGTCCTCTTAAGATCTTGTTTTGATTTTTTATAGTTTGCAAGGAGAGTTGAAAAAAGGCGATAGTTGACACCCTTATGGTGTGTTTGGATACTTGAATTTGGATTTCAAATCTAAATTTGATCTAAATTACTTGTTTGGGAACTCAAAAAAATTGGATTTGGATTTAAACCAAGTTATTCAAATTCAAAATTAGGCCAATTACAAATTCATACCTCTTCTCATGTCATTTACAAATTCAACTTCAACTTTTTTTTAAATTTATAACCATTAATTAAAGGGTGATCACTCCTTATGCAATAACAATTTCATACATATCAACCACCTTTCGTTATCACTCTGCCGAATTCAAAATTCAAATTCTAGAAATGAAATTTTATGATTTCCTAAACAAAATTTGTAATTTGAAACTATGAAATTTCAAATGATTTCTAGTTTCCAAGCTCTATCCTAATGAAAAAAGGTGGAATGTTTAAATGAGCCAATGAGGTGGATGAGATAAAATAAACAAAGTGAGTGAGGATAATTATGATATTTTAAATATAGAAAAAAGGTAATAAGAAAATGTATACTCTCTCCGTTCACAAATAAACTTTACATTGCGCGTTACGATGTTTGACTGAAGTTATTTTCAAATTATTTTATATGAAAAATGGTGTAGAATTGAAAAATAAAAATTACGGAGTACATATTAAAAAACTATATCAAAAGATCTACAAAACTAGAGGTGACATGACTATATTATTTTATCAAATAGGTGACGAAAATAGGCCAACAAACCCTGTGAATAGTAAACGTAAAGTTTATTTGCGGACAGAGGGAGTATAAGATAAATAAAAAGAACTAATGAGAAAATCTGTAGAAGGGAGGAGTATGTTTTTTAAATTTATCCCAAAATAATTATATTGAAAAAAAAAATTGAGACAGCAACATCAAACGTTTTTTGGGGATGGGGAGAATAACAATTAACAACGGAAGAGCTGACATGGCCACATCTTAAAAAAGAAGGAATCACATTTCATAGCCACACATAATATATTCTGATTCCAAAGAATCTCAATGACAACAACATTGACAAATTTATACTTTTGTAAAATAAAATAAAGACAAGAAAAACAGATTTCCTACTCAAACATCTAATTTTCCATCACTTTAAAAAATTATTTAACGGCAGAATTTAACTTTAACGTTTTTAAAATTAATCCACACCATTAAAAAATTATTCAAAACGTTAATCGAAAACGTTAACCTGCCATCATTGTACATAAATGGTGTTCTCACCACACCCATTGCTGAACTTCAGCCATTTCTTCTCCTTGCAAAGTTTCATGAGAAAGTACCATCCTACCCCTCCAGCCGTCATCAGCCCGCTCACCAGGAACACCAATTTGGTGGCAATGACCATAATGTACACCAAGAAAACCGACGGGACCAAACACATGGCCACCAAACCGGGCACCCCCAGCGGCACCCTGTACGGCCTCTCCACCTCCGGTGCCGCCCTCCTCAGCCACACAAACGCCGCGAACTCCAGCAGCATCCCCAGGCTGTACAGGAAGTTGGCGCACGAGATGATGTCATCGAAGTCCATGTTCGACGCCGCCAGCGCGATCGCTGACGTCAGCAGGATCCCGGCCCACGGCGTGCCGAACGCCTCGGAGCGCCTCAGGAAGATCTCCGGCAGGAATGCGCGTTCCGCCTGGCCCAGCAGCTGGAACGCGCAGCTGCTCGTCTGGGCTTCGAAGAGCCCGACCGCGGACAGGACCGCGCCCGTCTCGACCCAGAACTTGAGCCAGTCGCCCGCGATCATGCCCGCGGCCGTGGCCATGAAGCCCGACTCCCACTCCCTCTGGTCGACCGAGACCGACCCGGTGACCGCCAGGAGTGGGAGGATGTAGCCCAGACAGGTGAGGACCACGGACGCTGACAGGGCGGCGGGGAAAGTTTTCCGGGGACTCTCCACCTCGCCGGCCATTGTGCTGACGTTGTCCCAGAAATTGAGGTTCCAGAAGAGGGTGTTGAAGAATAGGTTCCAATCTTTCTTCAGACCCTTTTGCCCCAAACTGCCCCAACGGTGAGGGCGGATTTTGGGGATCGCGATGAGGGATAAGAGGAGGAAGGGGAGGAGGGAGATGACGCCGAGGAAGACGGCGGTCCAGCCGACGATGGATAGACCGGTGTAGTTGAGGAAGGAGAGGAGGAGGGTGGATCCGAGCACGGCGGCGTGTCGGGGCGGTCCGGAGGAGAACACCGGGAAAATTCGTTTCAGGTAGTCGATGCCTAGGGCGGGGAAGGAGGCGATGTTGATGACGCCGCTGAGGAATTTGAGAGATCCCATGAGAGATCCGAAGAAGGGGCCGAAGGCCTGGTCGGCCCAGATCACGAATCCGCCGTTGCCGGGGAACGCGGTGGAGAGCTCGGCGGTGATCAGGGCCTCCGGGATGCTCCAGATGAACGGGAAGATGAGGAATCCGATGATGGCGAGCAGAGGGCCGGCGGCTTGGACCGCGGGTTCCTCTCCGAAGGGGCCGCCGGCGACCTCGAAGTAGATGAGGAAGATGAGTGGGACCAGAGTGAGTTTGTTGTTCTTTCTGCTCGGAGGGCCGGCGGCGGGGAGAGTTATTGGCAGCTCTTGCAGATCTGGAGGTGGCGGCGGCGGATGCGGCGGTGAAGAAGCTGTCATGGTTCCCGCCGGCCGGCTCTGGCGAACTGCTCTCTCTCTCTCTCTCACGTGTTTTTCGCAACAAAAATACGGAGTGACACAAATGGGTACAGAGACTTAGGGTGGAGTAGTCAAAGTTCAAAGGATTCCTATTCCACGCTCACCATTTCAAATCACAAAATGTGTGCATTTTGTAATCTTATCTCTCTAATTTTAAAACTTTGGCATTTTATACCTCTCCTTTCTAAATGAATTACACTTTATACCAAATGAAATAAAATTTTAAACTTTTTCACTTCATTTTATTTGAAGGTTGGAGTAGAATTAAAAAAATCAAATTTATATATTAAAAAGTATATCAAAATTCTACAAAATAAGAGGTGAAAAAAATATTATATTTTATCAAATAATTAATGAAAACACACAACTAAACAAAATATCCTGTGATTTTTGAATAGTAAAAGGTGTAAAAAATTGTGGGATGGAGGAAGTATTAGTTTTTAATTAATTAACTTTCATTATTATTATACTCAATGACTACTAAATTAAAACAGCTATTATACCAATATGTGTTTCACCATTTTATGTTATTAAATTAAAAATAAGGTTATAGTATAACTTTATTGTTTAATTAAAAAACAAAGCTTTATATAAATGTTTAATACTACTCACTTTTTTTTCTTTTATTACTTTTCAAAAATAAAGATTTATATAAATGATAATAATTAAATGTGCATCATTATTAAAACTCTAAATTTTATTTCAAAAATGATATCATATATAGTAATTAAAAAAATGTTTATAACACATGTATTTATCATAAAATTAAAATTATATATATATATATATATATATATATATATATATATATATATATATATATATATATATATATATTCCAAATATAAAATGAGGATGCAGTATTCAGTGTTGGATTGTCAATTACATGTCCAAAATACCAATGAGGAACTAATAAGTGAAAAGTAGAAAGCCCATAATATTGTAAAGGCCATGCCTATACAGAAGAAGAACTATCAAGTCAAAATAAAGAGTCCAAAATACTAGTCCAACAAGCAGGATGGTTGGATTGTGGATTAAAGGTTTCGCCTCCCATCACCATTTCAAACTTTAGAACCTCATCTCTTAATATACAAAGATGAAAGGGAAAGATGAACGGTGCATATTCCTGCCTAAAGTTATTGGGCACGAGTTGAGTATTATTTCTTGGGTATCCGATTGTGTATAGAAGAAAATGGGTTCAATTGGCGAAGTGAGTGTTACGGTGGGACTTTTAATTCTTTGGTATCCATGGAGTAATAAAGACTAATTAATAGAAATAATTCTTTAAAGGAGATTTATTGAATCATGAACTAAAAGTACAATGCATTTAATGCACTTAAAAGGTACGCCTATTGGGAGACGAAATTTGACGGGTTAGCCACTCCTCTCACATATTCCAATATAAAGACATCATTACTTTCTCACCACTCCCTAATCCAATTTTATTATTTAAAGACGACCCTTCCCAATAAAGGCTAACTAATAGAAATGATTCCCTAAAGGAGAGATTTATTGAGCCACGAACTAAAAGTACAATACATTTAATGCACTTAAGAGGCACGTCTATTGAGAGACGAAATTTGACGGGTTAGCCACTCCTCTTACATATTCCAATGTAAAAACATCATTACTTTCTCACCACTCCCTAATTCAATTTTATTATTTAAAAACAATCCTTTCAATAAAGGCTAATTAATAGAAATGATTCCCTAAAGTTTCTATAGGCATGAAAAGTGAGAAAAAACAGTAAATGGAAAGTAGTACTCCGTATTTACTACACATACTAATTACTACGTATACACTTTGTCACTTGCATGGGCACTTTGATCCATAGTCCGACAATATGCACAGTCTCTTATTTGACTTTTTATTGCAAATGTTTAGACAGTCAAGTTTTGGTTAATAAAAATCTTCTCCAAGTCATCCTTATTCATATGATAGGAATCTTTAATCACTTCCATCTCATGTGGTAGACGTAAATTAATTTGAATGAATATAGTGAACTTGTTGATATCATCATGGTTAATTTGACTTATTGGGCTCAATGGTTTTGTTTAAACTTTAAAGTACTTACTAATTACGGAATAGAGAAAGGATAAAAATAAGAATAAAATGACACCAACAATATATGACATCAGTTGCGATACCAGTTCAATTGTGGATCCTATGACGTTTCGTTTGTAAAATTGATAATTTCTACTTTTTCCCTAAACATCTAACATTACCATAGTCTCATTGCATCCCCTCACCCCAGCCCCCTTGCACCCCACGGCTGCTTTTTAAAGAAGGTTTTTCTAAACTGCGGGGGATATGCCCCACGCTATTCTTATTTTCAAATAAGCAGAGGTTAATGTTTGCCGTTGTTTTCAATTTCTTTTTTCCAATTTTCTAAAGCTCTGTTTGGTACACGGAATTCAAGTCGTGAAATTGGAATTGAGAACTTCAGTTCCAATTTTGGTGTTTGATACCACAAAAATAGGTGAATTTGGAATCAGTGGTGCCAAAAATAAATTGGAACTGGAGAATTCAATTCCATCAAATTCAATTCCATAGAATTTCAATTCTAATTCCGTCAATTCTGTGTACCAAACGGACCATAAGGGTCCGTTTGGTATACAGAATTGACGGAATTGGAATTGAATTGGAATTGAAATTCTATGGGATTCAAAATTCTGCCAATTTCAATTTATTTTTTGCACTATCAATTCCAAATTTACATAATTTTTGTACTACCAAACATCAGAATTGAAATTAAAGTCCTCAATTCTAGTTTCATAGTCTGAATTCCATATACCAAACAGTGCCTAAGAGTTTGTTTGATATACGGAATTGGAATTGTATTTTTATACTTACTATTTTCTTTAAAAAAATATTTATGATTCACATACATTTCTTTTTCTCAGCATAAATTTTTAACCATATATCTTTATTATTTTTTAAACTCAAAATAAAATGAAAATAGAAAATTGAAGTACTTACATATTCTCAAGAAAAGAGATAATGACACAATGCGTATACGGAGTATATATGGATTGGACCGGACAAGGAGTCTATAGAAATAATAGAATACCTTAACCTTAGCTTCACGGCTTCATCATCCATTCAAAATGAAATTCTTTTCAATTTTTTAAAAATTTTTCTAGTACAAAAATTTGTTCCCGTTACGTATTATAATTTTGAGAAAAAGACTAAAAAAGGAGTAAAACATTAAAAATATAACAAGATAGAAATTTCATATTTTTATTTTCGGGATCGGATATGAGTTAAAATACATAAATATTACCAATCACGACTATGTATATGGATATTGTAAAATGCACATGTACAGTGCCACTTTACCACAATGTGAACTCCTATTTAGGAAAAATAAAAACATGGAACTTTTAATTTGGTACTTTCTCTATGTTATACATTTATTTAGAGTGATTCCATTATAATCTTTAACTGAAATTATTTTCAAATCATTTTATATGAAAAATAGTACTCCCTCTGTCCAAAAATTTCATTCTCGTTTTGATTTGGCACGGAGATTAAGAAAAAAATTTAAAAGTGTAAGGACTTTACGGAGTACATGTTTTGCCCTTGATGTGATAGAATAAAGTAAATAGTTTATATATAGAAAAAATAAGGGTATAATGACACATTCATTAAGAGCTTTTTACCAAAATAGGAAACGGGAAAGAAGTTTAGACAACCCAAAAAGAAAAGTTAGAAAGAAATTAATCAACGGATGGAGTATGAGATTAAAAAAATAAAAATTACATATTTAAAGGCTACAACAAAATATTTGCAAAATAAGAGGTGACATGACTATATTATTTTGTGAAATAGGCCATGAAAGTAGACTAATAAAGTAAATAAAGTTTGATCTCATAATTATTGAACGGAAAGAAAATTTTTGACGGAGAGAGTATTGGTTAAAAACAACCTTTTTTAAAAAAATGTATTGTGAGATTGTATACTCTATATCATTTGTTTTTCCCGGCCTTTTACATATATTTCCATTGGGACATTTACGTAAATAACACTAAAACATAATAATTTTCCCTAAATAGCATTACATGTGTTTTTTTTCAATGTACCACTTTTGGTCATTATCCATTAGTCATTATTCAAGTAAATGTTCACCATCATTGGACATTATTAAGTACTATTTAGGTAATAAAACAGTTTCAGTGCTATTTAGAGAAATGACTTAAGTTTTAGTGCTATTTAGTGTAAATATTTCTATCTCAATTTTATTTTATTTATTTTTTTCCCACAAAAAGACTTTTTTAAAAAAATAACTTTGTAAGAATCTGATACGGAATATTGTAGTTTTACTTTACATATTTAGTTATGGAAAAATTACCTAAAATAATCCCAACTTTATCCGGTCTTTCAAAAATAATCCCACCTTTCACTGTGATGCATAATAATCCCAACTTTATTGAAATTTGTCAGTTTTGGGTCGCCGTTAAGTTTCTAACGGAGAGTTAACGGAAATGCCCGTTTTAGGCAACAAAATTAAAGTTGGGATTATTTTTGATGAATTTTTGTTTTTTAATTTTTTTTTCAAATTTTTATTTATATTTTTTGAATTACTTTCAACCTCCATTTCTTTTTCTTTTTTAAAGATTGTTCTTACCTTAGAACAAAAATAGATATAAAAAATAATGAAAATGAGAAAAATACCTAAAACCATACAAAATTAATCAAATAAATAATGTAATCAATAGAAATTAAACAGAAACTGGTAAGAAATAAAATAAATATATACAGAATGGTGGGTTTTAACATTTTACACTCTATACAGAGTCTTAATGTACTACTTATTTTTTAAAAAGAACAAGCCGTCCGATAAAGTTGGAATTATTGTAGATATTTTTTTCTAAAAAATAAGAAGTGATATGTTAATACTTTGTATAATGTGTAAAATATTAAAACCCACCCGTATAATTTTGTTTTACTTTTACCAATTTCAAGTTAGTTTCTATTGATTACCTTATTTATTTTATTATTTTTGTATCATTTTAGTTACATTTTTCATTTTTTCATTTTTCATTTCTATTATTTTTATTTTTTTAAACTAAGACTAATCTTTAAAAAAATAAAAAGAAATGATGATGGAGGTAGAAAGTAATTTAAAAAATTTAAATGAAA